GCCACCAAACACTCAGCTAAATTTTTTGGGTTTTTTTTGTTTTTTGTTTTTTTGATTTTTTTTTTTTTTTTTAAAGAGGAGAGGGTAGATGGGGGTCTTCCTGTGTTGCCCAGTCTGGTCTGTAACTCCTGGGCTCAAAGTGATCCTCCTCTCTCCGCCTTCCAAAGTGTTGGGATTATAGGCGTGAGCCACTGCACCCTGCCTGCCTTTTACATTTGAAGAGCTTAGTAAATGTTAGTACTTACTCATTTATTTCAAAATAGGGGTCTTAGTGTGTACTGTGGTTCTTCAGTCTGTTTGAGAGATGTTTTGAGAATCTGATGAAATTTTGAAACCTCTTCCCAAAAGAAATCTCCCCCTCTCTTTGCTCCCTTCCTGTCTCTTTCTGTCGTGTGTGTGTGTGTATATATGTATGAACATGTGTATCTGTGTGTATATATGTACACACACAATGATACATGTCATTTGTCATATATCATCAACCAACTGAAACTCAGCATATGGATCCAAGTTAAGAACTGATCTGTTCCATTTTACAAGTGCTCTTTTCCCTTTATAAGTTGTAAGCATCCTGTGCCTTTTAATTTTCAGCAAAAACATGGGTTTTTTATGGCTATATGATATTCATTTTTTTAAAACCAATCTCCTGTTGGTGGCAGTTAATATCCGTATACCTGAATCTTTGTGTGGTTTTCAGATTTTTCTTAGACTAAGTCTAAGATTCTAAATGCGTATCACTAGGTCAAGCCTATGAATGTAAACCTTTGATTCTTCCTGCCATATTCTCTGAAGAATTCCACCAGTTGATATCCCACCCTCAGTATTAGTTTCCTCTCATTGTCTTGACTCCCTGGTATTCTTATATTAGGTTCAGTGCCTTGTCACATTCTTAAACTAGTTCTTTGTCGTTGATGTTTTATTGTCATTGTTAAATCTGTCAAGATTATAATTTAGAAAGATTGTATTAAAGCAGTAGTTCTCAACTGTTCACATTAGAATCACTGGCATGGGGGCATAGGGTACTTTCAAATATCCCTGTGCCAGCTGGGCGCGGTGGCTCACGCCTGCAATCCCAGCACTTTGGGAGGCCGAGACGGCAGATCACTTGAGACCAGGAGTTCAAGACCAACCTGGCCAATATTCTGAGATCCCGTCTTTACTAAAAATACAAAATTAGCCAGGCGTGGTGGTGCATGCCTGTAGTCTCAGCTATACGGGAGGCTGAGGCAGGAGAATCTCTTAAACCCAGGTGGCGGAGGTTGCAGTGAGCTGAGATTGTGCCACTGCACTCCAGCCTGGGTGACAGAGTGAGACCCTGTCTCAAAAAAAAAAAAAAAAAAAAAAAAAAATCCCTGTGCCTCGGCCTACCCCTTAGACCAATTAATCAGAATCTCTGGGAGTACAGCCCAGGTATCAGTATTTCAAGCTCCCCAGGTGATTTCAGTATAGAACAAAGGTTGAGAACCCCTGATTTAAAATTTTGGAGTTGCTTTTGTTTTTGTTTTTTCCATGAATTAACTCATGAAATAATTTGAGGAATCAAGATTAATTAATGTCTTAACACTAAACTCAATTAGATTCTAATTTATATGAAAGTGAGTTTGTTTTGTTTTACAAGGGAGTTTGTCTTTATCTCTGTTTGTTCTAGGTGATTTCAGAAAGTATGGATATACTCTTCAGAATAAGAGGAGGCCTTGATTTAGCTTTTCAGCTAGCTACTCCTAATGGTAGGTCTTCTGAAAAATTCTTTTTTATTAGAAAATTGATAGTGAAATTTACTGATATTATCTCCATTTTGCAAATGAAACTGAGTGAGAGATAGGATGAACTAAAATTATATTGTTGGTAAGTACATTAAATGGGACTTACACTTAGACACTGTGTTCCAGCACACCCACCAGCCCCTGGCGCACCTCTGTGCAGATTAAGAAAAGATGTTCCCTTTCTTAAGAAACTTTACTCCCCTCTTCATTAATTGTCACAATAAATGTAAATATCCACAATGAGCATATTGTAAATGTGCATCAAGAATTGTACATTACAGACTTGCAATTGTATATATAATCCTGAGTCTCCAGAACCTACTCTCTTAAATGCTACATTATATGGGGATGAGTACAAGAACTTTATGGGAGAAAAATCAACAGAGTTTATATGAAGCAAATTCTAGGATGTCTTCCTGTTGCTGACTTGAACAACAGTCACAAACTGAGATAAAGAACATCAGGAGGAATGGGATGAGCTGTGTTTGAGATTTTGTTTCATTTGATGCCAGTGGGAGGTCGAGTACAGATTCCTAACAGGCATTTGGCTGAGTCAGAAATTTAGAAGAGTGTGGTCGGAGTTGGAGCTAGAGAATGTCATGTCTCTGAAGGATGATAGTTAACACCGTCATAATAAATGAAATCACTCATGAAAAGTACAATTGGTGGTACCAGAAGCCACAGAGCAGTTCAGAAAGATAAGGAATGAAAAGTACTGTATTAGTCTGTTTTGCATCGCTCTAAAGGAATACCTGCGACTGGGTAATTTATAAAGAAGAGGTTTATTTGGCTCACAGTTCTGCAGACTGTACAAAAAGCATAGTGCCAGTATCTGCTTCTGGTGAGGCTCAGGAAACTTTCAGTCATGGTAGAAGGCACATGAGGGGGCAGTGTATCACATGGCAAAAGAAGGAGCGAAAGAGAGGAGAGGAGGTGCCAGGCTGTTTTAAAGAACCAGCTCTTTTGTGAACTGGTAAGAGTGAGAACTCACTCTTATTACTGTGAGGATGGCACCAAGCCATTCATGAGGGACCATGATTCAAATGCCTCCCACCAGGCCCCACTTCCAACACTGGGGATCCCATTTCAACATGAAATTTGGAGGGGACAGACACCTAAACTGATCAGATACCAGCAATCCTTGAAGGAGACTGCAGCTGGTCATCCTTTCCTAGCCCCGTGGAAGGGAGGGAGAGGGTGCAGAATATTCTTCTCCACCCATCCCTTCAACCAATATATTGTTCTCAGTTTTGGTCCACATTTGCATCCCTACCACCAGACTACATTAAACTACATTTCTGGGACAGAGACCCAGGCATCAGTAAGCTTTCTAGGTAATTCGAATGTGCCGTTAATATGAGAACCATTTTATAAGGACTAAATCACTCATTTTCAGGCCTATGTTGTTAGTTTTTTCCTAAAATGTTACTTTATGGATAAAACCTTACGTTTCACAACTTGATATAAACTGAAAACATACTTTACGATAATCTTATTCCAAAGTAGAATTAATCCATTAATCAGTCAATAATCCCATAATCAAATGTAAACAAGGCCTACAGATACTTTTTACCTAGTAATTAATATATTTGAACTTGTCTTCTGACTTATTGTATTCCTCCTCCTTAATCGAACTCTGTCAACCCTCAACAAAGGGACTCTCATTTATGAGAAAATACAGAGAATGGACATGCTTAACTTTAAAGGCTTCACAATTTTTTTTAGGTAACTTTACCAAATAGTCCTTTAGGGATAAACAGAAGCTAATTTAAAATTATGTTTGTCTTTTGTAGTGCAACTGAAAATCTTTAAATTCTGCTTTCTGAAACATATCAAGATATTTTAATATCTGATTTGTTATGAATAATCTCTTCTGTACAATAGCCCCAAAGTATTTATTTATCAAGATACCAGTGTGGACATTATTTATTTATTTATTTTTAAAATACTTTTTGAGCAGAATCAGGTCATTGAATAAATATTTAACTACGAGGTTAAATAGGCTTAGGATTTAGGAATGTAAGGCTAAGGCGAGTATTTAAAGATTGTCCCCTTTGACTATATCTTCTTATATTGTTTTGACTTTGGAAACATAAAAATGTTTCCAAATTGAATATGTCGAGTATTCAAAAATATTAAAATACTCGAATTTTTTGAATATTCAAACATTTTTTTAAAAGTCCATTGAAACGAAATCCTTGAAAACAAAAACAAACTAAAACAAATATCATGTTGGTGACATAACCATACAGAGGAAGAAAAACCAACTGTGACTTGAGAACACAGAACTTCGATTATATAGGCGTAGTGGGATATAGTCCAAGGAGAAGAAGAACTAAGTCATTTAAATTTCACTCAATAGTTTTATTGCTATAAGTAGTACATTATTTTAATAGTAACTGGCATCTTATACATTACTGATGGGAATATAAAATGGTATGGCTGTGAAAACAGCTTGGCCGTTCCTGAAAGTGTTAAACAGAGAGTTGCCGTGTGACTCAGAAATTCTACTCTGGGTGATCACCCAAGAGAACTGAAAACACATCCACACAGAAACTGAACTTCTGCACAAATGTTCATGGCAGCATATACATGACAGTCAAATAGTGGAAACAAATGTACATCAATTTATGAATGAATAACAAAATTGGTGTATCCACACAATGGAATATTATCCTGCCATAAAAAGGAATGAAATACTGATTCATGCTACAATACAGATGAAACATTATGCTGAGTGAAAGAAGCCAGACACAAAAAGTCACATAGTGTATGATTCCACTTATGTGAAATGTCCAGAATAGGCAAATCCATAAAGAAGAAAGTAGGTTAATAATTGCCATGGGTAGTATGCTGAAATTCTTTTCATTTTGCAAAGGAAGCTGAGAGGTAAAAACTAAGATCATATAGTTAGTAAGTGGATTGAACGGGATTTAAACTTAGATATTGTGTTCCAGCATCTCCACCAGCCCATGGAGTACCATGTGCAAATTAGAAAAGATGTAGGAGGGCCGGGCACGGTGGCTCACGCCTGTAATCCCAGCACTTTGGGAGGCTGGGGCAGGCGGATCACGAGGTCAGGGGATCGAGACCATCCTGGCTAACACGATGAAACCCCGTCTCTACTAAAAATACAAAAATTAGCCAGGTGTGGTGGTGGGCACCTGTAGACCCAGCTACTTGGGAGGCTGAGACAGGAGAAAGGCATGAACCTGGGAGGTGGAGCTTGCAGTGAGCCCAGTTCGCGCCACTGCACTCCAGCCTGGGTGACAGAGCGAGACTCCGTCTAAAAAAAAAAAAAAGAAAAGAAAAAAAAAGACGTAGGAGGTAAATCAGAAAATTTTCAATTTGAGAAAAGTCGGGGGAATGAGAAATGACTGCTGGTAGGTACAGGGTTTCTTTTTGGAGTGATGAAAATGTTCTAGAATTAGTGATGATTATAAAACCTTATGAATATACTAAAAGCCCTAAATTGCTTTAAAAAAATGAATTTTATGGTCTGTGAATTTTGTCTCAATTTTTTAAAAAGATAGGGAAAAAATTTTAAAATAATTATTGAATATGGGGAATGGGTATTGAGAGTTTTACTATGCTCTACTTTTGTGTATGTTTGGAACCATTCATGTTGAAAAATTTGTTTTTCTTAACTTCTATTTATATTCTTTTAATTTAGAAATTTTTCTCAAGAAGGCACTGAAACATGTGTTGAGTGACCTGTCAACCAAGCTTTCTTCAAACGCCCTTGTGTTCAGAATTTGCCACAGTTCAGTGTATATATGGCCTAGCAGTGACGTAAACACCATTCCTGGAGAACTGACTGATGCTTCCGCTTGTAAGAACATACTGCGCTTTATTCAGTGAGTACGTTTGAAGATTTCTAGAAATATTTTCAAAACATCATTTCATATTATAAATGTCTTTGTGTATTAAAAATTTAGATTTGAGCCGGAAGAAGATATAAAACGAAAACTCATGAGAAAGAAGGACAAAAAGTTATCAGACATGGTAAGCAAACCATCTGTCTTCTCTACTGATAAAACTGTTAAATCTTTGAATTTGGAACTGAGTGCAACCTTAGAAATAATTTAATCCTCTTATCATAGGTCAGAATATTGATGTCCAAAAAGATTAAATGACTTGCCAAAAGTTATATTTCCCTTACGTATCTCAGCTTTTGTCTCATTATAATACATAATCTCAAAAGGGTTGTTACTGTAATGCTTTCTCTGCTCCCACGAAAATAAAACAGCCTGAATACATTTATACATTATTTAAATTGAGGCATTCTGAATCATGACGGAGCGACACACTGTGCTACATAAGATAAATAGTAAATGATTTATTTTTCTTCACACTATTCTTGGTTCTGTTGCGTGTGTGTGTGTGTGTGTGTGTGTTTTGAGATGGAGTTTCACTCTTGTTGCCCAGGCGGGAGTCCCATGGCACAATCTTGGCCCACTGCAACCTCCGCCTCCCGGGTTCAAGCGATTCTCCTGCCTCAGCCTTCTGAGTATCTGGGACTACAGGTGCCTGCCACCACGCCGGCTAATTTTTGTATTTTTAGTAGAGACAGGATTTCACCATGTTGGCCAGGCTGGTCTCAAACTCCTGACCTCAGGTGATCCACCTGCCTTGGGCTCCCAAAGTGCTGGGATTACAGGCATGAGCCACCGCGCCTGGCTGGTTCTGTTGATTTTTGAACCAATATTACTGAGTACCTGCCATGTGCCACAAACTTTAACAGATGTTGAAGATAAAAAATGGAGATGCTTCTTCAAGGCACGAAGTTGTACAAAGTTAATATGACTACAGTGTTTCCAGGCTAGGAGAGGGAGAATGGGTGGACGTAAGGCTGGAGAGGTGGGCACAGGCCTCTTTAGAAGAGGCCTAACTAAACCACTAGCTATGGAAATACAGAAAAGGGATTGGATACGAGAGATATTTAGGGACACAGTGGATTCTGCTTGGAAACTAACTGGCAAGATCAGTTTCTTGCGTGGGTAAAGATGGAAGGTGAGGAGGACATGAGGTTGGTTTGGGCCATGTTTAAGACCTCAGTAAGATGTACAGATGAGCTGTTAGATTTACAGATGTGGAATATGCACAAAATAATTATGGGCTGGATACAATGATTTGAAAATTACCAGTAATTGGAGCTTGACATTTTGAGGGGTACAGGTGAGTTCTTTTTAAGACTGTTCCTCCTTTTGGATTTGTTTTATGCTTCCTTGCTATTAGAGTTAGGTCATGTATTATTGGCAGGGATACCACAGAAGCGATGTTGTGACCTCAGCACATCATATGAAAGAGAAACAGTTATCAGTCTGTTCCTATTATTGGTGAGGTTAACTTCACTTACCTAAGATGGCATCCACCAGTTTTCTCCGTGGTAAAGGTACTGTTTTTTCCCTTATAATTAGTATCTTGTGGGAAGAAACTTTGATACTACATATGTATCTTACTTTAGTCCTCATCAGATTTTTACCCACCACTTTTAGCATCCATTGATAATTTTTGCCAGAATCCAGTATTAACCTGGTGATTACAAAGTGGTGATTTTTCTAAATCTATCATTTCCTTCTGTATTATCTGCCATGGATTCTTATTTTATGCAGTAGTTTATAATCTGGTACTATCATTAGTTATTTTGATGCTCACATTTTCCAAGATTTGGCCAATAGAAGCTTCTTCAAGCTGGCTCCGGTGCCTTTCTAACATTGTAATTTTGGGCACTTCCTACTTTTTTCCAGGTGCAACATGTGTTTTCCCTGTTCTAGCTGGGGAATCAGTCATTTTTCCATGGGCACAAACTTTTAGACATTTATACTGTCCACACACACACACACACACACACAACACATTCATTTTTATCTATGTAAATCACATTGATACCTCCAGTTCCACTTCAACCCTAGAGTGCTTGACCTTTTCCCAGTGAGAAGTCTGTCTCCCAGGATCCTCAATATTTTGCAAAATTTGTTTAGTGTAAATTTCAGAATTGTTCCATACCCCTGTAAAAATCAAACCTACAAAGTAGAATTCAGTATTTGTTTATAGTTATTTATATATTAGACCAGGGGTATATAGTTACATGTTTGAAAGTTCCTTTGGTGTGTGGTTATTTTATGTTCATTTGATTTTTTAAAAATTTTAAGTCAATATAAAAGTGGAGAGAATCATGTAATGAACCCCAGTGAACCTATGCATGGTTTTAATGTTTATCAACACATGGCCAGTCTGATTTCATCTTTACTTCTTAATCCCCCTCCCCACATTATTTTGAAGCAAAAAGTAATTTCTTTTTAAAATAATATTTGTGCTTTTAATCTTTTTACTGTAGTACCGCTTTATATACTATCCTTTAAAAGTCCTTTTACCGGCTGGTCTGGGGGTAGTGAGTTATCTCAATTGACCATTCACAGCCAGTTACAGATTGAACTCCTTGTTCTCTACTCTTTCCCCCCTTTTCACTACTGTACTTGACTAGTCTTAAATTTTTTTTCTTAATACAAAATATATTTTTGAAAAGTCTTTTTACTTACTCTTTATATTTAGTGTTTAATGTACTACAAGTTGACTATTCCTGTTTATCTGTATAGCATCAAATAGTAAATATAGATCTTATGCTGGAAATGTCAACCTCCCTGGCAGCTGTAACGCCCATCATTGAAAGGGAAAGCGGAGGACACCATTATGTTAATATGACTTTACCTGTCGACGCAGTTATATCTGTGGCTCCAGAAGAAACATGGGGAAAGTAAGTATTTTTGTAGTACCACTGCCACATTTAAATCAGGGCCCTTCCCCAAACCCATGTTTCTGTATCCTGTAGGCATACGTAAGGTGTGATTTTCTCCTTGTTTATTATTAACCTAAGAGCCATCTATTAGTTAAATGGTTATTTGGAGGAAGTAGGGTGGGTAGCATGCTAAAACCTGGAGGATTTCCCTTTATCCACAAGAGCAAATATACAGTTTCTTTTATAATGCATAATTCAGACTTCCTTTAGCAAACCTGGTCCAATCAAGTTTTTTTACTATATTAAGAATATATTAGCTCTGTACTTCTCTTTATTGTAGCCACTATAACTTTTGTTAATACACTTATATGTTTCCCCCCACAGAGTTCGTAAACTCCTAGTTGATGCAATTCATAATCAACTGACTGACATGGAAAAATGTATTTTGAAATATATGAAAGGAACGTCTATTGTGGTCCCTGAACCACTGCACTTTTTATTACCAGGGAAAAAAAATCTTGTAACAATTTCCTATCCTTCAGGAATACCAGATGGCCAGCTGCAGGCCTATAGGAAGGTAAAACCAGTTCATTTATTTTTTTATTTTTTTTTTTTTTGAGATGGAGTCTCGCTCTGTCGCCCAGGCTGGAGTGCAGTGGCCGGACCTCAACTCACTGCAAGCTCCGCCTCCCGGGTTCACGCCATTCTCCTGCCTCAGCCTCCCGAGTAGCTGGGACTACATCATTTATTCTTAGAAAAAACAATAATGACTATCATTCATTTTGTATTTAATTATATATTTCCACTAAATGGAAGGGATTTTGTGATTTAACTTAAAAGTGTAGAAGTTAGACTGTTCATTTTACACATTATTTAATTTCTGTTCTCTTGAAACTTTAAGTGGTATTAGTGAAAAAATCTTATGTTGAACCTGTATGTAACATTTTAATTTTAAATGCTTGGTGTGGTTCATATATTCTGTGAAATTTTAATATTTTTCCCTAATGAAACATAGAAATGAAAAGGTGCTTACCTGCCTAAAGTAGCTGGTGTAAACAAATTTCTGTAACTTCCAGGTTTGTGAAAGAAACAAGATGACAGTTAGGGAAGGAAAATGATAACTTATGCTAATTCTGAATAGGGTTTATGGTAATACTCCACCAGTAAGGTTATTTGGGCTTTATTAGAGGAATTTGGGAGCAAACATTACCAGCATTCAGAGTAATGAGGTTTACTGGCAAAATGGCTGGTTGTGGAATACATCTTTTTGGTATGTGGACTTGCTTAGAACTCATCAAATTAGACCACGGAGCATCTTCCTAATTTCTGTCCTTAGGGAGAGACGTGATACCCTGACCCTCTGTATGTGGCAGTGACTTGGTTTGTAGAAGCAGCAGCTACAGGAGCTGATCTTTTCAAACCACTAGAGCACAAGATATGATAAAGAACATGTCAAAATTTTAAAATAGCTATTACATGTTTTTATACAGTTGGGAAAATATCACATTTTAAACATGTATGTGTATTTATTTTCCTGCCATATTGGTTGGTTTTAGACCACTAACTTCTACTCTGTAGCTTAATCACTACCACTTAAAATATAAAATATTTGTAAAGCACTCTAGACATGATTTTTCAAAATACTTTGATATAATTATTGTTAATTATAATTTACTCATTTATAAGGCCATTTCAAAGCCGGTCTTTAGCCTGGATGTATTTTAACAGACTATGTTATAATAATTATTTAAAAATTATCTCAGTTCTCTTACTCTAACAATTTATATTCATTTTTCTCTGTTCCCTTCCAGTTTCTACCCAGATACAGACGTAAACGAAAATAAATCTTGGTTTTAGTTCAGTTTTCACTATCTTTGATGTTAGTGAATTAAACCATAAGTGTTTGGAAACTTTTATAACCCGTATATAATTTTCTGTGTTTTATAATATCTTTAGTTCATTTATTGACTAGGAATCTAAATCACCAACATTTTTTCTTTTTCCATTGATTCTGACTTATTTTAGGAGTTACATGATCTCTTCAATCTGCCTCATGACAGACCCTATTTCAAAAGGTCTAATGCTTATCACTTTCCAGATGAACCATACAAAGATGGTTACATTAGAAATCCACATACTTATCTTAATCCACCTAACATGGAGACTGGTATGGTGAGTTTAACTAATTATGGGAGTCACTTGATCAGTAATGTTATTAGTTATTTTTTGTTGTTACCTGGTAGAAGACTTGATTCATGATATATTCATTCCTAAAACATGATTTATCACCCATCTCTGTTAACAGGCATTGCTTAAGATAGCAGTAATTAAAAATGGTCTAGAAAAGTTAGTAATAGGTAGTATATACCACATTTATCTTACCAAAATTCTCCTTATTTCTTTAAAGGCTTGTCCCATTTTTTCATTCTGGATACCTGAGAAATCGTGCTAATTAAGGGCATAGTCTACCCAAACCATACTGTAGGATACGTGTTTTTGTTTTTTTTTTTTTTTTTTTTTTGAGACGGAGTCTCACTCTGTCACTCAGGTTGTAGTGCAATGGTGTGATCTCAGCTCACTGCAACCTCCACCTCTCGGGTTCAAGCAATTCTCCTGCCTCAGCCTCCTAAGTAGCTGGGGTTACAGGCACCTGCTACCACACCTGGCTAATTTTTGTATTTTTAGTAGAGACAGGATTTCACCATGTTGGCCAGGCTGGTCTTGAACTCCTGACCTCAAGTGATTCGCCATGTAGGCCTTCCAAAGTACTGGGATTACAGGTGTGAGCCACCGTGCCCAGCCACTGTAGGATAAGTCTACACTTATTTTCTGTGTAACATATACCCGGTTGCCATAGTGAAGTATTCTGTGTTACATATACCTCACTAAAGGTAGCTCAAATAAGAGTGAACTGGCAGAGGGTGTTGGAAGGGTTACTTTAAGGATGCATGGAGGCCAATGTGACAGGACCTTATAGGCATCCAAGATTAGGAATACCAGTACAGCCGGGTCTCTTAGAAACAGCAGCCCTGTGACTGGCAGCTGTCCCCCCTCAGTCTCTCTCAAGGACTCCGTGGATACCTTGGTGGCATTGCTGTTGCTTTCTGTGTATGCTTGTGATCCTAACTGGCCTGTTCTTAACTTTTACTCTGTCTGCTCAGCCTCATACCCTCTGTGTCCTTACTGTTTCAGCTTGTGTGTCACTTTTTCTTGTTCTTCCTCAGCTGCTCAGTATATGCCTCATTCCAACTGCATTTCCTGCTCCCGGCTGCCTGGCTAACTCTGCACCTCTCAATTCCCAAGAGAAAGAAAACTTGGCCATTGTATCATAGCATTTATTGAAACTTGTATTTGTTTCCTAAAAAATAATCACATACTTGATGGCTTAAAACTACAGAAATGTATTGTCTCAGTTCTGGAGGTCTGAAAGTAGTGTCATTGGGCTGACATCACAGTGTCAGCAGGGCCACCTTCCCTCCATAGGCTCTGGGGGAGAATCCATTCCTTAATCTGGTGGCTGCTAGCATCCTTTGGTTTGTGGCCCCATCGTTCTGATCTCTGTCTCCTTGGTCACATTACCTTCCCCTCCTATGCCCACTCTTTTAAGAATATATGTGATTGCATTTAGGGCCCACTGGAATCTAGGATAACCTGCCCATCTTAAGATCCTTAACTTAGTCATGTCTATAATACCTTTGCTTTTCTTTTTTCTTTTACTTTTTAGCACAGAGGGTGCATTCACAAGTTCCAGGGATTAGGACATATATTCCTTTTGGGAGCCACCTTTCAGCCTGCCACAATGGTCAAGTTACAAATTTTTCTATCTGTGCTTGGGCAGAATATATATTCTCTAATTGTTGGGTGAGGGTTGGTTCCATCTTTGCCCCTCTCTCTTCTCACCTAATTTTTAAAAAATAATATCAGTTTGGAGCCAGGCATGGTGGTATGTAACTGTAATCCCAGCTGCTCAGGAGGCTGAGGCAGGAGGATCACTTGAGCCCGGAAGTTTTAAGACCAACCTGAGCAACATAGTGAGACCCAATCTCAAAAAAATAACAAAAAGCCAGTTCTTTAAAAAAAGACGTATACATTCTTAGCATTATAAGTAAGAATTTATGTGATATTAGTAATTTACTTATCTTTATTTTTTGACCCTTAATTTAGGGTCATCAAATCACATACCTGGGCTGCAATCATAGCAGGTTTGTAAATTTGCACAAACATTCTTCCTGTGTCCCATGATATGGACCCTTCACTTGTTCGTTCATTCCTTTATTCCTTCCTTCCTTCATTCAGCATTTATTCAACAACATTTATGCCAACTGCGTGCCAGGCATGTTGTAGAAGCTTGGGCCCCAAAATGGATAAGACACGGTATATGTACTCACTGAGCTCACATACTAGTGTAGGTAGGCAGATATTTTTTAAATGATACGTAATGTGTCAGGTAGTGATATACTTTGACAAATAAAAACATAAAGAGGACAGAGATGACAGGTGAGGCAGGGGGTGGGGCAGTGAGAGAATGAGTGGGCCGTCTGTAGACTGCATGGTCAGGGAAGACCTCTGCCATCTAAATGGAGACCTGAGTGAAGTAAGAGTGCAAGCTGGACAATTAAATTGGGAAAAGAGAGCTCCAGGCCAAGAGAACCATGAGGCTCCGAGGTCATGTTGCCCCTGGTATATGGGAACTGAAAGTAGAGGGAGCAATAGGGAAAAGTTTAGGAGATGAAATTGAAGAGGAGGCCCGAAGGTAGGTCCTGCTGGGCCCCGTGGTAAGGACTTTGAACCTCAGATAAAAAGCCAAGAAGGTATAATGTTAAACCATAGATCTGTGAAGGCATTTTTATAAGGAACTACAGTGACATTAAACATAATTCAGGAGCATATATAGAATATGTACTTCTATCCTAAGTTAATATTTCACTGTGTTTCTTTGTGTATAGATTTGTGTGGTCCAGGGCGTATATGGTTATCATCATTATATGCAGGATCGGATTGATGACAATGGCTGGGGCTGTGCTTATCGATCTCTGCAGACTATCTGCTCTTGGTTCAAACATCAGGGATACACAGAGAGGTCCATTCCAACACACAGAGAAATTCAGCAGGTACAGAACATATCATTTTAAATTATAATCAACTCTACATTTCATTAGCCCTTAATATAATATACCATTGATTTGTTACCTCATGGTGCAGACTTATTTCTGTTTTGAAGAAAAAAGTATTCTTAATGCCTGTCTTGTGTATGGATTTTTTTATATTTTTAAATACATAAAGGCTCTAGTCGATGCCGGTGACAAACCAGCAACATTTGTCGGATCACGGCAATGGATTGGATCTATTGAGGTACAGCTGGTACTAAACCAATTGATTGGTATAACTTCAAAAATACTGTTTGTCAGGTAAGGACACTTTAAGAAATTAGATAAATTATTTCAAAGTGACTTTGTGAGTAATGTATACTTGTATTATTTAGGCCTAATTTTAGCCTAGAAGAGGAAACCTTAAAAATATATTAACGTTGAGTAGTTATAAAAATTGTATTAACAGTTTCTTTATGCTCCAATCTTTTAAAAAGTTTTAAAAGGAAAAACTCAGATGTTGATCTATGACTGACCTTTTTGTTTACCTCCTGCTCTTTTTCTTCCTAAAATATTAATAATCCAGTCATGAGTCCAAATAATGTATTCATTTTGTCTTTTCCAGTGTATCTTAACCATAATTCTAATATTAAAATGAGAAAATATAAGTAAATAATTTTCTATGACCATAACTAGCTTACTCCTGATTTTATGAGCTTATGTTTTAAAATACATTTTCTAGCTGGGCGCAGTGGCTCACGCCTGTAATCCTAGCACTTTGGGAGGCCGAGGTGGGTGGATCCCCTGAGGTCAGGAGTTTGAGACCAGCCTGGCCAGCAGGGCGAAATCCCCTCTTTACTAAAAATACAAAAAAATTAGCTGGGTGTAGTGGCGCATGCCTGTAATCCCAGTTACTCAGGAGGCTGAGGCAGGAGAATTGCTTGAACCCAGGAGGTGGAGGTTGCAGTGAGCCACGATCGCACTACTGCACTCCAGCACAGGTGACAAAGCGAGACTCCCTTTCCAAAAAAAAAAAAAAAAGAAAAGAAAAAATACATTTTCTAAAAAAAGAGAGAGAGAGAGAAAAAACCCAAACAAATAAAATACATTTTCGATTGTTAATTATACTAACATTGTCCTCATTGTATCAGTCCTCAGTGGTTATGAAAATCAGTGGTAAAAAATGACAGACTGGCTGGGCACAGTGGCTCATGCCTGTAATCCCAGCACTTTGGGAGGCTGAGGTGGGTGGATCACCTGAGGTCAGCAGTTTGACACCAGCCTGGCCAACATGGTGAAACCCTGTCTCTACTAAAAATACAAAAATGAGCTGGGCATGGTGGCGCACATCTGTCATCCCAGCTACTCAGGAGGCTTTGAAGAAGGAGAATCCCTTGAACCTGAGAGGCGGAGGTTGCAGTGAGCTGAGATCACGCCACTGCACTCCAGCCTGGGCAACAGAGCAAGACTCCATCTCAAAAAAAAGTAATAATAAAAAACAATGACAGGCTTAAGTAGTGAAGAACTTTTTTTAAAAGTTACAGTTTTGGTACGTTAAAACATTATACATTCCTCATTAAGCAAGAGCTAAGGTTTAGCACCACCGGACACCTCCCCCCAAAAAATACCTCCTTTCATTAGCCCATCTTTCTTTCTCTTCTCAAAAGTAAGAATTCTGAGAGTCCCTAAAAATAGTATGTTGCACTTGAAAACATTTTGCAGCTTTCGCGTTGATTTCAGACACGTGTTTTAGTCCGAGACTCTCCTGGTGTGTAGACAGGTTGGTATTTTGGGTCCCAGTGTAAAGATGAGGAAATACAGACTGAGAAGTGCACCAACAAGAGGGCAAGAACCCAGCACTTAATACTCATTCTTCTGATCAGTCCATCCATAAGAACTCCCTGAGCACCAAGGTGACGTTTTAACTTCATGTGAATAAACCCAGGCCGCCTTTACGCAGTCCAAGCAGCAGAAAATCAAGGTCTGTTAGCTTCTTAACTACCACGCTTAGCGGCCTGAAGTACTTTGAGTTTATGTTGCTTTAAATCGCACAGTTTAATTGTTCTGTCAGTTCCGTACCACTTAATTTTTTTACATTTATATATTTTATCAATAACAACCCGAAAAAACAGGAATGTAGGAAACATTGTCTCCTCGCTCATTATTTGGCCTTAGTGTTGGAAGTCATTCATCTGATAGAAAATGGTTTCTTTCTAGCCAAGGTTCAGAAATGGCCTGTCAAGGACGGGAACTGGCGAAGCACTTCCAGAGCGAAGGAACTCCAGTTATGGTCGGTAAGCTGTTTCAGACATCGGTTTTGGTAGAGTGAGTATTATGTAAAACTTATCATTGATAGAAATATTTAATGTTGCATTAAATCAGTCCTTTAAAAAATTTTGAAATTGACTTTTATACCATATATATGGATCTCTGGATATTGAAAAAAATGTCCAAGGTGGCTTAAGGGTTACAAAACAGATTATAATAACCAGAAGAAGCAAAGGCTGAGAAATGGTAGCTATGTTCAAACATTTAAAGAGCTGAGAGCAGTATTAAAAAGAGGAAATGGTCACTCAGCTGAGCTTTGTAAGTTATGACTTTGTTGCTAACTTGGCTGGCTTTGTGACATTTTGCAAATTACTTACGTCTCTGGATTTTATCTGTAAAATAAGAAGATTGGATTAGCTGATTTAAAGATGCTTAATTCTGTGAAGAACAAGACCTGTCCTATGATGACAGAAGGTAAGCTGAGACTAGTGTGTAAGAAATGGAGGTAGAAACGGTGTAGTGGCTCACACCTGTAATCCTAGCACTTTGGGAGGCCGAGGCAGGAGGATAGCTTGCATCCAGGAATTTGAGACCAGCGTGGGCAACATGGCCAGACCCCATCTCTACCAAAAAAAAAAAATACACAAATTAGCCGGCATGGTAGTGTGAGCCTGTAGTGCCAGCTACTTAGGAGACTGAGATGGGAGGATTGCTTGAGCCCAGGAGGCTGCAGTGAGCAAGAAATCCACTGCTCTCCTGCCTGGGTGACAGAAGTGAGAAACTGTCTCAAAAAAAAAAAAAAGGAAATGGAGGTAGGCTGATGTCAGCAAAATATCAGAAAGAACTTAATGAGTTAGGCCAGTCCCGGTAGCTAACGCCTGTAATCCCAGCACTTTGGGAGGCTGAGGGGGGCGGATCACTTGAGGCCAAGAGTTTGAGACCAGCCTGGCCAATATGGCAAAACCCTGTCTCTACTAAAAATACAAAAATTAGCTGGGTGTAGTGGCACGCACCTGTAATCCCAGCTACTTGGGATGCTGAAATAGGAGAATCGCTTGAGCTGGGAGGTGGAGGTTGCAGTGAGCTGGGATTGCCCACTGCACTCCAGCCTGGGTGACAGAGCAAGACTCTGTCTCCAAAAAAAAAAAAAAAATGCCGGGCACGTCGGCTTACGCCTGTCATCCCAGCACTTTGGGAGGCCGAGGTGGGCGGATCACGAGGTCAGGAGATTGAGACCATCCTGGCTAACACAGTGAAACCCCATCTCTACTAAAAAAAATACAGAAAATTCGCTGGGTGTGCTGGTGTGCGCCTGTAGTCCTAGCTACTCAGGAGGCTGAGGTAAATAGAACATATAGTCGGGTTTTACACCGAGATGTTCCATTGCCCAGGACGGGCAGGAGACAGATGCTTTTCTCTATCTCAACTGCCAAGAGGCCTTCTGCCTCTTATAGTAATCCTCCTCAGCACAGACCCTTCACGGGTGTCAGGCTAGGGGACGATTAGGTCTTTCCCTTCCCACAAGGCCATATTTCAGACTATCACATCGGGAGAAACCTTGGACAATACCTAGCTTTCCTAGGCAGAGGTCCCTGCGACCTTTGGCAGTGTACGTGTCCCTGGGTACTTGAGATTAAGAGAATGGTGATGACTTTTCACAAGTATACTGCCTTCAGGCACTTGTTTAACAAAACACACCCTGCACAGCGCCAAATCCTTTAAACCTTGAGTCACCACAGCACATGTCTCTTGCAAGGACAAGGTCAGGGGTAGGGTCACAGATTTGAGATGGTAACAGCATCTCAAATACAGAACAAAATGGAGTCTCTTATGTCTACTTCTTTGTATATAGACACAGTAACAGTCTGATCTCGCTTTCTTTTCCCCACACTTTTATAGTTTAGAGCAGTCCATTTTAATGCTATTTTAGATCAGTAAATAGGCAAAGTATCTTTTTTTTTTTGAGTCTTGCTGTGTCGCCCAGGCTGGAGTATGGTGGCGTGATCTTAGCTCATTGCAAGCTCCACCTCCCAGGTTCACACCATTCTCTTGCCTCAGCCTCCTGAGTAACTGGGACTACAGGCACTTACCACCACGCCCAGCTATTTTTTTTTTTGCATTTTTTTAGTAGAGACAGGGTTTCACTGTATTAGGACCTCGTGATCCGCCCACCTCGGCCTCCCAAGGTGCTGGGATTACAGGCGTGAGCCACTGTGCCGGGCCATAATCTGTCTTTTTAAATTGAATAGGCATTTGACATTTGTTTTATGTCTTTATTCTTATTTCCTATTTTTTCTTATATAGGGGGAGGAGTTTTGGCCCACACGATACTAGGAGTTGCATGGAATGAGATTACAGGGCAGATAAAGTTTCTGATTCTAGATCCACATTATACTGGTGCTGAAGACCTGCAAGTTATTTTGGAAAAGGTAAGTATCCATTTAACACAAATGGAGACACAAGGCAAAGAACCTAGAAATGAAGGATCACAAACTGGCTGGTAACAGAAGGACAGTAAGCTGAGGGCAGAGATCCTGCCTGTGAGGAGGCCTTCTGAGGCTGTTGTCAGTAGCCCTGTCTGTACAGGGAACGTGCAGGAACAACGCACATTGCAAAAGACAAAATGTAGATTTATAGAAACTTTCTCAGTTATTGAAATTAGTAATAGGACACACACTCATAAATATATTCCTTTGGAGATTTTAGAGCTTTCATAAACAAATGTATCAAAGTTTATCAATGTCTTAAAATAGATGAGTGGAATATATAAACTTTTAAAATTTCAGAAGTAACCAAAAGATAGCTAAGCACTTTGCTAGACATTATGGAAGCTTGACTAATTTTAATTTATTTACATATTACCTAATCTCACTCTATAAAGGGTTTGAAGTTGATACATGTCTAAGAGTATTTGTTCTTACTTACAATAGCAGGTAAGGGAGGTAAAAAGTTGTTAATTCATAGGCAACTAATTCCAACATATGAAAACTCAGCACCAAGTCTTTAGGAGAAAGTATTGTAAAACATAATTAACTTGAATTTTAAGTAACATTTATCTTCTTTGCCAAATACATTGAAATTGCAGAGAATACATACTTTTAAACCATAAACTAAAGATAAAATGTTTTAATATGTTAAAGAGTTTCAAGCTGGTGCGGTGGCTCACCCCTGTAATCCCAGCACTTTGGGATGCTGAAGTGGGCGGATCACCTGAGATAAGGAATTTGAGACCTACCTGACCAACATGGTGAAATTCCGTCTCCACTAAAAATACAAAAATTAGACAGGCGGGTGGCGGGCGCCTGTAATCCCAGCTATGTGGGAGGCTGAGGCAGGGTAATCACTTGAACCAAGGCGGCGGAGGTTGCAGTGAGCCGAAATGGCGCTATCGCACTCCAGCCTGGACAACACGGGTGAAACTCTGGCTCAAAAACAAAAAAAAACCAGTTTTGAATGTGTGTAGTCCAGTTGTCTTCTACTGACAGTTTACTGAAGTCTTTTGTTTATGAGAAGGGTAAACACTAACAGGATGGACGTGTGTTAGTACAGTTGTGTTTTTCCTTTTGCTTTTCTCTTTCACAGCATTTGGAATTTGAAGTCTCTAAAAGGTTTCTGACTGGTACATGTATCTTACTGAATATAGTAGCAGTACTCTGGTTCTGTAGCAAGGTGTTCATTCAATATTTATTAAAGTACCTAATAAGTGCCAGGCACTGTCCTAAGCACTAGTATTACATGAGGTTTTTAGGGAGCTAAAACCTTTAGTGTAGGGCAGAGAAGGACAGTCCAAAAAGGACTCTCAAGAAAAAAAAATGGTATCTCAGGTGCTTTTACGAGGCTGATGGTATCTCAGGTGCTTTTACGAGGCTGATGCTGTAGCGGAACCCTGTAGGAACAGTGAAAGCTACACTCCAGGTAGATCAGTGTCCAGAGCTAGGTGGAGGGGAGGCTGGAAGGACACACCAAGCTCAGTCAAAAAGGGTGGTCTTGCCGGGCGCGGTGGCTCACGCCTGTAATCCCAGCACTTTGGGAGGCGGGCGGATCACGAGGTCAGGAGATCAAGGCCATCCTGGCTAACGTGGTAAAACCCCATCTCTACTAAAAATACAGAAAATTAGCAGGGCATGGTGGCGGGCACCTGTAGTCCCAGCTACTTGGGAGGCTGAGGCAGGAGAAATGCATGAACAATGGGGAGGCGGAGCCTTGCAGTGAGCCGAGATCGGCGCTCTGCACTCCAGCCTGGGCAACAGAGCAGACTCCGCTTCTCAAAAAAAAAAAAAAAAAAAAAAAGCGGGGGGGGGGTTGGGTCTTTGTGAACCAGGCATTTAGATTTTTTCTTAAAGGCAGGAGGAAAACTTAATTATTTTCATCATAAAATTTATCTTTTCTGGTTGGCTCAAGGACTCTGCACTACATGGCATTATCTAGATAAGGGTTTCCCTGAACAATTAGAGTAGGGGATTGTACCTGGTTCCTTTCTCTGAGAATTGCAGTCTCCCATCTTTGCTAGTTATATTTCTATAGACTTTTCAACAGCAGATACCTCCTTGCGCTATTTGTATGCACAAGAAATGGGTGAAGCCATCACTGGCTACAGCAGGGCTAAGGCACTCCAGGCTTCCACCTGGAAATGGTTCACTTGACTCCAGAAACCCAGGAGGCCAGAGGAGAGTTCCATCTCTGCTGACCTTTGTCTTCTTGTGGTGCTTTCGGTGTTTGAAGTTCCCAGGCTGGTCATCTCTCAGGAAACAAGCATGTCCTAAGCCACATGTCCCTAATACACAATCCCATTTTGACACCCTTCTACCCATTTCTCCTTTAAGAATTTTGGATCTGGTTAACCTGGATAAGACCTTCATGATGCTAAAAGGATCAAAAAAAGGTTTAAAACCAGAAGGATGTGAGTTCCTTTTTGTTTCTATTTGTCTGTTTAAAAAACACGAGGACAGTTAAGAAGAAACTTGTTTGCTGAAAAAAATGAGATGATAACATAGAATGCGTGGTTAACGTTAGGAGACGTGGGGAGAGTAGGACTGTGGGGAGAATTATTTTACTTTTGTTTTTTTTACAATGTGATCTATTAATTTGGGAGGGAGTCCAGATCCACTGCTTGTCCACTTCATTCGGTGGTATTTCAGAGTCTCAGGCCTCTTCGCAAGGATTTCTCAAGCATTTTCATTTTTTGAGAATCATACGAATACAATGACCAGTTATTGGGCTTTTTCCTTTCAAGGTTTTCCTTTCTTTAATAACTCATGGGTTCCTAGTAAGAAATTCTGAGAAACATTTTCTACTTGTAAGTGAGCTTTTGCTTGAAGTAATTTTCTCTGAGGTCAAAAGGATGAAATACTGACATGAAACATAGAAAGTAGGCCGGGCGCGGTGGCTCAAGCTGTAATCCAGCACTTTGGGAGCCGAGACGGGCGGATCACGAGCTCAGGAGATCGAGACCATCCTGGCTAACACCGGTGAAACCCCGTCTCTACTAAAAAAAAATACAAAAAACTAGCCGGGCGCGCGGTGACGGGCGCCCTGTAGTCCCCAACTACTCGGGAGGCTGAGAGACACAGGAGAATGGCGTAAAACCTGGGGAGGCGGAGCTTGCAGTGAGCTGAGATCCGGCCACTGCACTCCAGCCTGGGCGAGAGCGAGAACTCCGTCTCAAAAAAAAAAAAAAAAAAAAAAAAAAAAAAAAGAACATAGAAAGTAGAATTGAGTACGACTCTGGGGATTTGAAAATGAAAGGGCACAGAGTGCCAGGCAGGGGGCAAGCTGAGGGTTCTCACTACAGTGCTTCAATCCTAAGATGCCACGGAATGGTCTCTTACAGCCCTTTATGGACTACTCAGAAAACCAGACTGCTAGCTCAACTGTCACATGCTGTCAGTTTCAAGCAGTAAAACTATACATCTCAGAATCAGTAAAGTGTGGTATCTGGAGTACTTATAAGTAAGTTTTTTTTAAATGATTTTTATGATGAATTATATAGAATTAAAAGTTCAAAAACCTACCTTAAAAAGGGTAAGTTACTTTTCTATGCTTAGTAGGAGTTCAAATCCTTGAATGATAAAGCCATTTAGAGTCTTATTCCAAGGTCCTGCAGACAGAGCCTGATGTCACGATTTCCATGACATCATCTTGTAACTTTGTAAAAGGCTTTTCCCTTTCCCTTCTCCTCTATCCAGGGCTGGTGCGGATGGAAGGGTCCAGACTTTTGGAACAAGGATGCATACTATAACTTGTGTCTTCCTCAGCGACCAAATATGATTTAAAATATCTTGGAGTCAAAGACTGCAGTAGAGTGGTATTATAAATTTGTGAATAAAGAATCAGTTTAATTTCACCTTAAATCCTGGTTCTAGTTTGACGGTTTAAATTATGACCTTTTTCAAAGGTTGTAAATACTGCACGGAGAATGTATTTTTTAGACATTCCTTTAATAAAACTTAAAAGACAAAGCATACACAACCAGCATGGTATAGGCATGTAAATACATGTGTTCTTAAATGGATCTTCACTTGGAAGAAAGTTTTTCCTCCTTCTCAGGAGGAGTTTAGACACACATATGGTAAAGCCAAAAGCAGGAGCTTATAGATCTGCATGAAATGAGGGCGTTCTTCAGACTTCTTCATGACCCACGTGACATCTGTTTTTAAAAAAACATGCTGACGTTAAAAACTTTTTTTAAAAAAATGAGTTTTATCCCCAACTTCCACCATGCAGGCCCATTTTTGGTCTCTAGACTCATATAACCAATATTAAGATGTTAATGAGAATGAAACACCACTACTAGAAATAAGAGTGTCAATATTAAATGGAATAATAAATGCTATGCAAATGAGATCAATTGCTGAGGGAGGAAAACAGCAGCTCTGAGTTACTTACCAACACTTCCTTTTCCCACTGATACTTCCTACACTTCCAAAACTTCGCTTCTGTCTGAGCACAGGAACACGATCATTCCTGTCCGAGTGTTCACTTGGTTTTATTGTCTGCATGCATTTAATTGTTGTAAGAAACTTGGCACAGTCTGGAAATCCACATGACCAAGCGAGATCTTCAGCTGTTTGCCCGTTCTTATTACATAAACTGAAATATGATAAAAATTGAGTTAAATGAAAAATTGAACTTGTCTTTTTTAAAATATCTTACAAGGGAATTTTGGGCTCATACAAATGTTGACTGCAGAACAGAAGAGGTAAAGGATGCGTAGGGAAATCGCATGTTTGGTCACTATTGTATCCTCAGCAACTAACAGAATCCAGCATAGAGTGGACATTCCAGTTCTGAATGAATGTAAGAATTATTTGATGTTTAATACAGTGTATGAGTACCCAAAGGTAGTCAATGAGAACTACAGAATGGGTTTTCCTAAACTGAAACTGAAGTAGAATACAGTCATAATGAACAAAATTGCACCTCTGATTGCTCAGGATCTGACTTTTTACTGACTCGAACAGAGTATTATTAGACAGCACCAACAACCTAAGTTAACATTTAAATGATTAACACTAAATTATCAATTAGGCAAGCATTATTTTTAAAAGCACATGTAACTAAGCTTTAGGAGTCTGATTAGTTTAATCCAAGGAAACATGAAATGTGAAGCCACTGTTTTCATACTCACTCAATTTGGGCATCACTGGCTACAAGCAGGCTAAGGCACTCCAGGCTTCCAACTTTTGCTGCCTTGTGTAGTGGAGCTTCTCCTAAAACATCCTTAAGGTAAGACAGTACATTTTAGAGTCTCCCAAAAATACTTTTTGTGGAAGATGGTGAGTGACATCTAATATTAGCTATTTAAGGAAACTAGTTAGAATTGCATTGTACTGGATGGAATCTTTTTTTTTTTTTGGGCAGAGAACACAAACACTTTTCGTGGGTTTATTTTGTTAATATTCATTCTCAGTTCAGGTTTTGGGTTTGTTTTCAGAAATGAGAAGTCTTAAGTCACTTTAAGATTAAGAAGTAATGTGTTTTTGATACATATAAATGTGCATCAACATCTATTCTAATTAAAAACTATTGATAATTGTTTACAAGTGCAAGATTTCAGGAATGCAGAATTAATTTAAATAACTAGTGGATTATTATAACTTCAACATTCTAGCATATACTCTGAAATGATTATCATTCATTCCTTTATTTAGATCTTCTAGATACTTTTAGTGATTACATTAGGGATAGCCAACTCCCTGGGATAATTTGAAACATAGGAATGTACTATGCTCGCATATTCATTTCAGTATGGAACCTTCTGAAAATCTCCTCCTTTGGACTGAATTTTTTACTTCGAGCTTTTCATTTTGTTTCCCTCGGTAAGCTGTAAAAGCTTATTTTTGATAAGTTAGTTTGCTTTTTCATACCGTTTTCATTAATAAAAACGTGTGGCTGGGCGTGGTGGCTCACTCCTGTAATCCCAGCACTTTGGGAGGCAGGCGGATTACCTAAGGTCAGGAGTTCAAGACCAGCCTGGCCAACATGGCGAAACCTCGTCTCTAATAAAATACAAAAATTAGCCAGGCATGGTGGCGTGTGCCTGTAATCCCAGCTACTACAGAGGCGGAGGCAGGAGAAGCTCTTGAACCCAGGAGGCAGAGATTGCAGTGAGCCGAGATTGTGCCATTGCACTCCAGCCTGGGTGACAAGAGCAAAACTCCGTCTCAAAATAAATAAATAAAAACGTGTAGCCATATCCACATACATTAAAATGTAAGCAAATAAAAACAGAGTTCTCCCAGAAAAGTTTACAATTTAAAATTCACCATGTTTCAATATTCAACGGAAGATGAAAACTACAGTAAGAAAATTCTTTAGGAAATTAGAATGCTTGTGGACATAGCTCACAAGTATTTGAATTGCTGCCGGGAGACTTAGTAATGTAGCAATTACTTCTTTTGAAATAAACTAGATCTGTGCTGTTCAATATGAGTCAACAGCCACTTAAGGCTAGAGTATATGAAATGTGGCTAGTCTGATTGGAGATATGCTGTCACACCGGATTGTGAAGACACAGAGTAAAAGAAAATGTAAAACATCTAATCAGCAATTGCTTTATGTTGATTATATATTGAACTGATAATATTTTGGACAAATTGGGTCAAATACTAAAATTCCATGTTTATTAATGTGGCTACTTAAAAACTTGAAATTTCTCATGTCCTCACATCAAGACTGGAAAAAAAATTTTAAATTACATCTGTGTCTTGCATTCTATTTCTGTTGGACATCGCTGCTATAGAGCTGAAGCAACTCTCGGCGTCTGAGAAATGTTTGTTTGGATCTGGGCTGGAGGGGAGGGCTGTGCACAGCAACAATCAGTTACCTAGTTACCTGTTGGTTGAGGTCAGCGCCCGTTTGCAGCTGCCAAAGAAGAAAGCAAGCAAGGCCGCTTCCTGCGGCTAAGTGGACAGGCGACTGCTCGCAGGGATCCGGGGGTGCGTTGACCGAGGCTCCTGTCTCCAGCAAATGCTTCAGACCATCCACCTGCGGGAAGAGAACAGATCCAGCACCTCTCTCACCTCTGTCCAGTCCCGCGCCCCTCCAGGCTGGAAATCTCCTCGCCCTTCACAACCAGCTCTGACCAGGCGAGACCAGGCAGCGCCCAGTGGTCAGTCCCCGCGTTCCCGAGAAGACGCGTCTGGAAACTTGAGCCTGCAGGACGAAAGCTCACCTCGGGGTTGCAATCCAGCAACAGCATTTCCCGCCTAAGGCAGATGACAAGAGTCCTTGGAAGCGCAGAGCGGTGGGACGCTCGCCGCACCGCGGCAGGTAAGAGTGCGCACGCCGGCCCCAGCACGGGAGAATTTAAAGACCGCTGGGACTTGCGGGCCGGCCCTTAGCAGCCGCGCCCCTGCTCCGGTTGCGCCCGAGCAGTCTAATCCCCAACCACCTGGACCCGGTCCAGCCCCGCGGAGGCCGCACGTACACAAACACTGGCACGTGGAGCCCGGCGCCGGGGGCAGGATGGGGCGGGGGCGGGCGCGCGAGGCCATCCGCCGATTGGCCAGCTGTGGATGCGCCAGGCCTTCCCACCTCAGGGCGGGGCCCGCGGCCGCCGCACGGAGCCTCAGCGCGCGTGCGCACGGTAAGTCAGTGGGCGGGCACGGACGGGAGCCCGGGCGGGAGGGGTGCCGCGGCCGCCATGAGGCGCGCTGAGTTTGACACGTCTCCTGGTAGCGCGCCCGCCCTTAAATCCTTCCGGAGAAGCGGGAGTTTCGGCCGCAGGTTTTGGCTCTGCCGGCGCGCACGTAACCAGGAAACAGGGAGCCGCACGCAGCTCCCCGTCGACGCCGCGCTGAGAAGCCGCTGTGCACGGCGCTGCTGCCGCCTCGGCGCCGGGGAACGCAAGCTCCTTTATCTCGCGCGCCGTCGCCCGCCTCCCAACCCGGGGCGTGAAGGCAGGGACCGCGAGCGCGAATTCGAGGGGATGGCTGTCCCGAGCGGCAGCGGCCGAGCCCGGCCCCCGGAGGGGTCCTTGTGGAGGAGCCCCCGGGGAGAGGTCGCGGCACGCTGGGGCTGTCACGCCGGCCCACGCCGGGCTCTCCTCACGGGAGAGCGGCCCCGGCCGCGTGCGATTCGGACCCGCGGGGCTGGGGATGGCGCCCTCCTGCGCCGCGGGTGCTGCCGGGCGTGCGTCGCTGCTTTGGTAGAACAGACCTGACTTCCGATGGCTGCCGCTGACGTCAGAGCTGCTCCCTAGACTCTCCCTAAGCGCTTTTCCAGAAGGATCTGCGTAGACACCAAAGCTCCAGCCTAGTGGTTTCTTTTCCCCTACACTTTTAGTGATTCCCTTGTGTTGATGCCTTTGAAAGCACGGAGGAATAAATACGTTTGTTATTGTGCTGTTAGAAGACAAGCTCATGCTTGTCCTCTAAACATAAGTGGTCTTTTCATTCTAATTTTTGTTTTGTAGTAAGAGCCATAAAATTTGCAATGGCAAGTTTATGTTGTTAGTTACCCAAGGGGTGGTTTTAAGCATTTTTATTCGTATGAATGTTTGAACATAAATGTGTGTTCAAACATAGAATCTTTCTTACATTACGTATTTTTAATACTTAAACTATTCGCAATACCTTTTAACGATGTTTAAAGAATGGTAGTGCAGAGATTACTGTCAGAGTTGTGAGGTGATCACGTGTCCATATTGCCAATTTCCCTTTTCTCTTGTTTAAATTCAGTAAACATTCCTTTTTAAAACACATGCATTGAAGCTTCAGGTTTGCACAGAAGTTCATTTTCAGGAATTCCCTTCAAAGAGTATCAGACACGTTCTTAAGAGTTTTGAACATAAATATTGCAGTTAGCATATGTAATGGGATATTTGTGTGGTGAAAGTGCCTCCATATTTCATATCTTTTCTTTGAAACAAGATTTCTGTTCAGTATGCATTAAGTCTGGTAGTTGTATTTTAACTGCCTGTTACATATGTAAATTTCATAAGGAAAGGAAATTTTGGGAGTCGTTAACAGCTTTTCTCCCTTTAATCACAGTGTACTTGTCCATAGCTCACATTGTTTTCAGAAAAAAAAGTTACATCTCAGCTGGATATCTGACTTATCCTTAGTAATGGGCCTAGAAACTATAAACTGAACAAAGCTTATAATGCACGAAAACAGGATAAGTACATTTGGAGGACAATATCTTACTGGCAAGTAACTGGAGTTTCACTAGGCATGTAGCAGGTGGGATCAGTATTCTAAAGAGGAAGATGATCTAAGATGCATATTCAGTAGGTGTTCTCCTAAGCAGTGCTAATTCTGCATGTTTTAATTGCTGGTAGATGTGTTTCCAGAACGAGGATGCCATTTACAGCGAGTGTTAAAAAAAAAAAAAAATGTTGGATGATGAGTAAGTGACCAAATAAATGAGAGGTGTGTGGGCCGAATTTGAGGGTAGGAGTTTGCTAAGTAGTCCAGGAAGGGAAGAGTATTTCTAAGAAGTGTAAAATATCTTCCAGTATTGAGAGCACTGTATGTGGTTCAGTCTGGGGGCAGTGTGTAATCCACATACAGCAGTGATGTGAAATAGAGAGAGGCTGACAAATGAGAAAGTATTAACCACTAACGTCTATTCCAGTTTGTTATATTACAAATTGACATTAATTGAGCACTTGTGCCTCAAAACTAATGCTCATAGGTATTATCTGCATTTTACAGAAGAGGAAATTGAGGCTTAGGGAGGTCCATTAACTTGTCATGTTTATTAGGAGGTAAACCAGGGATTTGAACTCAGTTTGACTCCAGACCCCACATTCTTGTCATATCTATGTGTTTTAAATAATTCTGGTCACCTCTGGTAAATTCAGGCTACTAGGATTGGTTTCTTTAATGCAAACTAAAGTTTGTTTTTTTTTTCTTTTCTCTCCTCTGAAACACAGTCTCGCTCTGTTGCCCAGACTGGAGTGCAGTGGCGTGATTTCAGCTCACTGCTACCTCCATCTCCCCGGGTTCAAGCGATTCTCGTGCCTCAGCCACCCAAGTAGCTGGACTTACTGCTGTGCACCACCACACCCAGCTAATTTTTGTATTTTTAGTAGAGACGGGGTTTCACTATGTTGCCCAGGCTGGTCTCAAACGCCTGACCTCCAGTGATCCACCTGCTTTGGCCTTCCAAAGTGTTGGGATTACAGGCGTGAGCCACCACGCCTGGCCACGAAAGAGTCTTCACAGAAAATCATTATAATCCATAGAAAAACAACTCTTTTATTTGATATTGACTGTTAGTGTAGCCTTGTTCCTGGCATTGAATCTCCCACAATACTAAACCTAGTACTTCCTATTCAAGTAATTACTCTTGAGGGCCGGGCGCGGTGGCTCACGCCTGTAATCCCAGCATTTTGGGAGGCTGAGGCAGGTGGATCGCCTGAAGTCAGCAGTTCGAGACCAGCGTGGCCAACATGGTGAAACCCTGGTCTCTACTAAAAATACAAAAAATTAGCTGGGTGTGGTGGCGGGTGCCTGTAATCCCAGCTACTCAGGAGGCTAAGTAGAGAATCACTTGAACCTGGGAGGCAGAGGTTGCAGTGAGCTGAGATCACACCACTGCACTCCAGCCTGGGTGGAAGAGCAAGACTTCATCTCAAAGAGAAGTAATCACTCTTGAATAAGTGAATTGTGCCAGGTGAAAATTATTAAAAGTAGTTGCTGGAACCGATAAGCTAATTTTGTCTATTTCCTGTTTGCAGTGGTTTTCCTGTTAAACGCTGGAAAACGTTACCAAAAGGCACAGTATTGAAAGGAGGAGTAGTAATTGAGAATACCTAATTCCTACTTGCCACTATTTTAAAACATTAATTGGATTGTATACGTGTAGTAATGCCATAGAAAACTTTAGCTCTAAAGCAAGGGAAATCATGTAAAGCAAAACTAAAAATCTCGCCAGATGCAGTGGCTCACGCCTGTAATCCCAACACTTTGGGAGGCTGAGGCAGGCAGATCACTCGTGGCCAGGAATTCGAGATCAGCCTGGCCTACATGGTGAAACCGTCTCTACTAAAAATACAAAAAGTAGCCAGGTATGTGGTACATGCCTGTAATGCCAGCTACTTGAGAGGCTGAGGTGGGAGAATCACTTGAACCCAGGAGGCAGAGGTTGCAGTGAGCCGAGATTGTGCCACTGCACTCCAGCCTGGGTGACAGAGCGAGGCCTCATCTCCAAAAATACTGAAAACTAAAAATCCCAGTAGCTGGCCTGGTTTCACAAGTATTTTTTAAATCCCTTGAGAAGATCATAACTGTCATGCGCGTCCATGTGAAGAGACCACCAAACAGGCTTTGTGTGAGCAATAAAGCTTTTTAATCACCTGGGTGCAGGCGGGCTGAGTCCCGGAAAGAGTCAGCGAAGGGAGATGAGGGTGGGGCCGTTTTACAGGATTTGGGTAGGTAAAGGAAAATGACAAAGAGGGGTTGTTCACTGGCAGGCAGGAGTGGGGGTCACAAGGTGCTCAGTGGGGGAGCTTTTTGAGCCAGTATGAGCCAGGAAAGGGGATTTCGCAAGATAATGTCATCGCTTAAGGCAAGGACCGGCCATTTTCACTTCTTTTGTGGTGGAATGTCATCGGTTAAGGTGGGGCAGGGCATTTTCACTTGTTTTGTGATTTTTCAGTTATTTCAGGCCATCTGGGCATATATGTGCAAGTCACAGGGGATGTTATGGCTTGGCGTGGGCTAAGAGGCCTGAGAGTAACACCAAAGCATTGAAGTAATACGCATCAAGCATTTCCGAATATGATGTCTTAATTGTTTATTGCCAGCCAGGCGCCCATGGTGTATCAGTGTTGACCGGTCCACTGAGTCTTAGAGGTAACAATATTTTTATTAATAATGATATTATGGCAATAATACTTCTATCGTTCATACACTGAAGGTGATACTATCATTCCAAATGTGACAGCTTTTCAAAGACAGAAGCTTATAGCCAGATCTGGAATTTCAATAGATTTTTATTTTAAACTTTTTTTAAAAACATCGACAGATTTAAGATGAATTAATTAATCAAATATAATTCTGTCCTTCATTGGCCACTGTCAGGAAATCCATGACCCTAATGATTGTAAAAACGGAAGGATTTCTCACAAATTCTTCTTCCTCTTTAACATAAATTCTTCCAGCCTTGATAACTCAAACTTCTTGGGGAAGGTGATAAATTGTGTAGTTATTCTAAACAACTGCCGCAACAGGACATTGTGGCCAAATGAAAAGACAAAGTATAGTTATCCTCTTTTGATGATGTTTACTTTCCTGAGAGCCTGTAATCGGAAGGGGTCCAGTGGTCTCAATGGGTTAAAAAAAAAAAGTGTCCACTTCTTCACTGCTGTGATAAGAACTTGGACAACTTGAAAGGTATTTCATATTTTTGTTATTTCTGCTCCTGGTTATATATTCTTTCAATG